TAGTCCAGTTGTCCTCATCACAGCGCCACTTTTGTCTTCATCTCTTCCAGATTTCTGCACGTCATTGTGACGTCGCCGCGCCGCCGTTGCCGTCGGTTTGTCGTGATTGCCTTTTATGCGAGTTCAGGCCGGTTTGCAGAAGATATATACGCACCCAGTTCGGGGCCGGAAAGATGGTTTTAGTTTAAGTGCAGTCCCGATGAGTGAAGGAATGAATCTTTGTTTTAATCAAGATGACCCGATGCCTTAGAAATTCGAACGGTAAGAAAGGGAAAGCGGGCAACAACGATATTCTATAGCGCAATCAGAGCGCCGCGGTCGCTATCTTGTGCATGGTATAGCCAGTCCTTATGCTGTCGCACTTGCGCCGAATTTTAAGCCAGTCCCGGTCCATGGACGATGACTAAATTGTTCATACTTAAGAAGCTCCTCCAGAAATCTCCGCTGTGTATATTGAAAAAACATATGTCACCACCTCAATTTCGCTTTTTCGTAGTCGGAAAGCAAAGTATGGTACCTCGTGAGTGACCTCGGTGCCTCCATTACTCTGCACTACGAGTCACATGGTGTCGTATAGGCAAGTCGCGTCGACAACGAGCTCGAACAACTTAGTGTACACATCTTTCACGGGGAGTCGCTGGAAACGCGCTCCGCTCGGCGCACCTTTCTCACGCCCTCGCTCTATTACGACCTGCTTATAGCGCCGTCCGCTTAGACAGATTCTTTATAGTAGTTTTGTGCATTGTTTTCTGTATCCTCACTGCGGAGGGGCTGTGTCCTTGTTTGCTCGCCCGGCCCCGCGATGAAGACGTGGTCCGTCCGCCCCTTGGCTGCACTCGTCTCTGGAATGATTGAAGCCCTCTCTTGAAGGAGTCGTGGCACGCCCTCTGCGGTCCAGGGTCGCTATTAAGGATACCGGAGGGCGATGCTGTTACGTAAAGAAAAAAAAAGGGCTCGCTTGCTTCTCTGCCTGTCTCTGCTTGTGTGTGCTCATACGTCTAACCTTGCCCGTCCATGCAATTGTGAAAGCACTTGTGGAATGGACAGCTGGATCCCAAACTATCGCCCTTCAGAAAAGAACCGTAGAGATTCTGTCAGCGCTTAACGGTTCACTGGGCTTGAGACAATGCGAGTACGCGAATCGGGAATAGGAAATGGGGCACTTGTCCGTGGTTCGCCGTAATGATTTTAGGGGCAAGAGGAAACATCTTTATCGAATTCTAACAGTCTACACTTGTGAATGGCCTCGGTAGACCTGTAGGACCTGTAGTGCTTAGAGATGTTTATGACCCTCTAAAGAGCCTTTGACAGCTCCTCCGAGGACGCCTGGGAGGCCCTCACAAGGACAGAAGACAGGAACCCCCAAATGATTAGTGGAACGAATGCTTTTGTGGCTGAAGACTCAATTCATCTTTCCACAATATTCTGTAGCCTGTGTTCGTTTGTGGTACATGCGCAATCTATTTCCATGTGACTAGATCATAGTGTGGTTGGGTGGACCTGTATCCGCGAGTGTTGATTCTTTGAAACGTCATTTTATTTCATCTGCAATCTAGCTTCAAATCATATCCGAGACGGACCGGGAAGAACAGGGGAGGAAGAACAGGGGAACTGTGATGGGAATGGGAAGTGCTCTTTCACCCTGCAGTGATTTTTTGAGTAACATTTGAAGCGATTAATGATTATCCTTCTTAATAAGATTTGCTTATCCTTCTTAATAAGATTTGCTAAGCCCAACTATACAGGGATGTCAGGATTCATTCTTACGAGCATAAACACTACTCTAAAAATATGGGGCAAAGAAGAACACAGATGAAAAACGTCTTGTTAGCTCAAGAACATAGTTATTAAGAAAAAAAAACATGTTTGGCGAAGACATTCATGTCTGAGCCGGGCCTTTAACGTAAGGCCCGCAGACCATGTGATTGAGGCCTCTGGTGTATTGGTTTTTAATATGGTTTTAATGCAATGACCAACAAGTCGAAGTCCCCGGCTCTGCTTCCGAGATGCCTTGTATGCACGATGCCACGGGGTCTCGAAGCACGACCTTTCCTCGCAGCACAAAAAAGCGTTGGGCGGAGACCACCTGTCAACGCGAAGAAAAGAGCTCGAATGGGATTGCGAGTACGTGTCGACCTTGCCTATACGCCATCACGATCAATGAAGAGGGCAGGAGAGAAAGGAAAACCATTACAATGCGGAGACAATATACTGACATCTTGTTTACTCTGCAAGGAGTCCGGGGTGCCGTCTCGGTTCAATTGCGGACTCTCTCATTATTCCCTTACCCCTTTTTTTTATCTGACCTCTCATTTTGGCTCGCGCTTTAGCTAGAACCTTTCAATGGTGGCGTGGGCGTAACAGGGCAACGACTTACAGCGACTCCACGACGTTTCCGAGTTCGTTCCGGCCTCTTTCTGCCTTTAGTATGCCCGCCTTGCCTTTATTTGCTTTCTACTGTTTTGCGTTGATGAAGGGGCGTGCCCCCGAGACATTCGCATTTGTCGCTTCATGGGGGCGGGCCAGGACATTTCCGTGGATCGCCCTGGCAGCTTCGCTGCCGCTGTTACAGCAGGCGTGTCTATACTTCAGTGTAGGGCGCTTGAGAGGGAAAGCACACACTACAGTACGTAATGAGCCGCTGAACGCATCTGCGACAGAAACAACAGCGAAATAGAACGTCTTTCTAGAGTATGCACATGCTTGTGTGGTACGTCGTGCTCCTTAAAACGAGACGAATGAGGTTTGAAGTTTTGGACAGTGGGATCGACGAGTTGTGAGTACTTTGTGTGGAGCCCTGTCTTGCAACATGTGTGGCGTATATAACTGCAGGAAATGTTATTTCCAGTACTTTCTTTAGCTTTCTTGTCTGTTAGTTTTAATTGTTTCTAACAAAAAAGAACATGCCTTTAAAATTACCCTTCTTTCGTCTGTTCTTAAACAGACGGATACCTTTTATTGAGGTAACCTATCTTCCTAAACACCGAGATGACGTTTTAACGGATTCGAATGGCCCAAGCGTTCTTGATTCGCTACCCAGTAGCCCCTTGCGCACAAGCGCGAGATATATTCTGACCGATACTTGGCCTGTGTATTTGGAGCCACTTCGAAGAGGAGCTTCATGACATTTCGTCGGCACTTTCTAGCTTCATGATTATTCGTGTCGTTACATTACTCTCTTTAAATATTCAAGTTGACTCTCCTTTTGGAGATCTTCATATTCCCTTGGTAGAGTCTTGGGAGACTTCAGTTGTTGTGAGGTATCTTCGCTGTGTCTGTATGAAGAGGTGTAGATGGTAAACCCGCAAAGCGTGCTCTTCAGTGCACCAAGGGCTTTACGTTGATTACACTTGTTTGCTGTGTCCAGGCGGGGTACCTCTAAATTGGGTTACTGTGTCGGTCGCAAAATACGGCCACATACTGGAACATTTATCTAGCCAGTATGCTCAAGTTTTCATAGAGAATCCAGCCTTTTCGCAAGATTTCGGGTTCTTGGAACATTTGTCCCTGGCAGCACATCCTGTGGCACGATGTTCTTTCCCGTTTTGTCGTTTACCCTTCGTTTTATTTGTTGTCTTCATAATGTTGAGCCCCACCAATATAATGCAAAATACGAAACGGGCCCCACAATCCGTGTCCGAGCCTTTCTTATTCATCTTAGGGGTAATGACCAACCGGAAATTCACTCCAGCTTACGTCACATTCTGACATCGCATTCAAAACATGGCCTCTGTCACCGGGAATCGAACGCGCGACCTCACGCTTATTATCACGACACTTTATGTGCTAAGCTATCGCGGTGGGTGGCCGTAAAACCTGAGTGTTGGTGATGCCGCTAGTGGTTAGGTAACGATAATGATTGTGAACGAATTACCAAGGAAGCAAACGAACAAAAAGCTAATTTCCCAGGATGACTTGTCCACCTTAGTCTCGAAGGACGTGCAGTAGGCACATGGTAGACTATTATTGATGGCCAATAGCACTAGAAACAACGCAATGAAACACGCTTAAAATAAAACTCAAGTCAAAAGTGCTGAAACATTATGTAGCACCGAACATTAGCCAAGTCGTTCTCCTTGGGCCTTAAGGATTTCCCGAATACCCGACAAACTCAACTTCTGGGTAAAATACTCAAAAGGAAATAGAAAGCATCCAACCAATGCCCAATTTTTGGTCAAGATTCAGTGTGAGTATGAGCCATAAGTATAAGGGCACATCAGCAACAGAACAGCGGAATTACGTTCCCGCTTTTCTCCAAGAATAGTTCGACGTTGATGGTTTAGTGCTCTACATTTTCTATAAATGATTCTCATCCATTTCTTGGGATTAATGATGATGGCGATGAGGATGGTCACTCCGGGGGTTATTGGCACCTGGAAATTGCTTGCTTGATCCTCTTTTGCGGCTCTTACCCACTAAGGGGGATTGGCCAAGAAGGCGGTGGTTAATGTAACCTGAAAATTGGTCAAGAATTCAACATGAGTGTATTCCTCCTCGTCGTTACTGTCATTGCAATTAGCTTTCGAATGAATGTGAGACCCGATCCAGTTGTTCGAAGTTAGGAAAGAAAAAAAAAGTAAAAGAGAATGTTACAAATTTCGAACTATGCTTTAATAGATCACGTCTCAATGTCCGGGCATAGATTATGAAGTGAGAAATCGACGCAGCTTGTTTTGAAAAAGTGCGTTCAGCTTCAGTCCACCCTAAAAAGACCAGTGACCATAACGTGACGACCACCGTGCCCAGAAAGACAAGAAAGAGAAGCTGCCCAGAGCGTGCACTCACGCGCAGCGTAAGGGCGAGCGCTGCACGCGCTCGTGAAACGGCCTGTTCTCGCAGAAGCGAAGCCATGACGGAAGCCAGCCTTGCCCCTGTTTGCCGGCCTTAGGTTCGCAGCGCCTCTCTTCATAACAGGTCCATTCGCACTCGTCAACCCCTCACTACAGCTTTCGAGCAAGACCGAGACCCGTTGAGCTGGGCCGTAAGAGCGACTCCTACTCATGGAGTCGTCATCGGTGGGCTGCAACAACATGGCGCCTCGACAATTCCACGCCCGACACGAAGGCTCCAGCGAGGGTGAGCCGCCGTCTCAACACGGAGGCGATAACGTCGCAGCTGCCGCTGACGTGGCGCCTACCTCCGGTCGCCCGTCGGAGAGCGCCCGGAGCACTTCGGGAACAGGAGGCGGAGAGCAGGTAACCCACCAGATGACTCACTCGTACTCTCTCAGCGCCATCCCTACGGATCAAGGACACCGGGACAAGAAAAAGGCATCTACCAGGTATTCCTTGCCCACCGGTTACACCGAGGCCTCGTACCGCGGCGAGGAGTACGCCCATAGACAGTCACCCAAGCAGCAGCAGCAACAGCAGCTCACTCCACACCAGATGGACTCCCTACCTCGACCCTACCCTCCCCAGTCTAAGAGTTTCGGGTACACGACTAAAGACCTCTCGCGTTCCATGGGGTCAACGGCGCTTCAGCGTGAGGACTCATCCGGAGGGTGCGCTGCGGACAGTTTCATGGCCAAGGGAGAGCCCGGGCGCGCTGTGCGCATTGATTACAAAGCCCATGTCCCACACGGTCTCAGCCGCAGCTTGCCGAAGCAGTCCTACTTCCCGGATCATCAAGGCGAACGCATGTACTACCCGTCGCGCAGCGCCGTGTGCCTCCAGGATTTGCCCCAGAAGCAACAGTACGCACAGCCATACTACACGCCACAGATGCTCCGCAAGGCCGACAACGGCGGCAGGGTCGCCAGTTCATCTTCATTCAAACCCAAGCGATTTGATGATCGGCAAGGTGAGCAGCAGCGCTACTACACCCCTTACTCGTCCGGGTACGTGTACCCCATGGAGGCGTACGACGACGCTGAATACCGCAAGCAGATGGCGGCTTACACAGGGGATCAGCGTTGGATCTACAGTCACTACGCGGCGTATCCTCAGCAGTACGCCGTGCACATGATGCAGGAAGCCAGCGGAAACGAGGCTTGTCGTGAAGCCGGGGACAACGTGGGCGTCAAATCGTCGGGAGACTCCGGTGGCGAAGTCTCCAAGTATGCGAAGCAGGCAGCCGAAGACGCCAGCTCGATGTACGTCATTGTTCGTGACGCCCAAACGGGCACAGACACTCCACTACCAGCGACAGCTGACGTCGGAGAGGAATCTCCGCCTCCTTCGAAAGCGGTGGAGATGCCCTTGCTTGGCAAAGACGCTGCTCGGCAGAAACATGAAGATTCGGAATCGTCAACATCCTCGTCGAGCGATGAAGATGATGATGATGAGGAAGAATCATCGTCATCGAGCTCTGAGTCTTCATCCAGCTCGGCGTCCTCTGTGAAGAAAGGACGTGCCAAGGACTATCTGACTTCCGAAGTCAAGCAGAGAATCATTGCCCAACGGCTGCAAGACCTTCAGATTCAGCACCAGCAGCAGCTGATGAACATCACTCCCCAGGAGTACGCAAGTTATCAGGAAGCCCTGCGTATCTATGAAAACTACTGTCAGAAAGTGCAGAATCAGGAGCATCAGCAGCAACTGATGATGCAGCATCGTCAGCAACTACAGCAGCAGCAGAGCTTTATCCAACAACAGTCCCTCCAGCAGCTGGCACAGCCGCAGCAACCACCCCCGCAACCGCCACCGCAACTTCCATTGCAAAAGCCACCGCAAAAGCCACCGCAAAAGCCGCCGCCGCCGCCACAACTTCAGCAACAAGCTAGCCAGCCGCAGTTCTATCAGCAGCAGAAGTTTGACCCGCGCGCCGGGGCCCTGCCGGAGAAGAAGAAATCCGTGTACTTCACCGGTTCCGAAGGTGCGGGAGAAATGGCAGCTCGCGTTCCGGGCGAGGGCTCCAGCATTCGCTCGTTCCAGTCCCGCACCAGCAATGACGTTGGCACTGGAGAAGCCAGCGTCGATGACAGCCGCAGTCTGCTGTCGAGCAACACGAACATGGGGACGCCGTTGTTGCGGCCCCTGGTGCCCGAACGAGCCGCGCGCACTGCCACGAAGGACAAGATGGAGCACCTCTGTCTCGCCGTGAACGTGATCCTTTTCAGCGTGCTGGCCGGGGTCGTGGCCGCTTTCATTGTCCAGCAGGTGACCCATGCCATGTGATCGAACGGCAGCGCCCGGCGGAGTGAAGTCAACGAGGAAAGTCTGCCGTAAATTGTGACATCTACAAGCTTCCCACTCAAGATGGCGCCTGCAAACAGCCGAAGTGAGAAGACAGATGACGTGAGAGGTCCACCTGCCTTTGGACATTCCATGTTGTCTGCGGCTGCTTAGAGAGCTCGGGTGCTTTTTTTTCTCTTTTACACCCTACTACCGACCCCGAAGTTCTCCTGCTTGCTTGGCGCTGTCTTTTTTTGGAGCCCACTCGGGTTTTTTTTTCTTTCTCTGAGTTTTCCTTTTCTCGTGTGTGCTGTAACCAAGGTTTAATAAAGCTTCCTCTTTCTTTTGGTTTAATGTGTGGGAGTAGTTTGAGATTGCGCCGAATCCTCAGGTCAGTAGTCGCAGTGAATCTGCAGTATGTACTCACACGCACACACGGACACTGAATCCCGTGGATGAAAATAGATGACTAGCTTATAGCTTATCACAGGCATACTGGCAACGCTTGGAATTGCACATTCGTTGAGCTGTATACCATAGTTACCATCGTTGAACAATCGTGGACAACTCCACCATGGTATCGGAAGCATATAATTGGCAAATAAGGTGCTACAGCGGCTGCAGCTGTGAGTGCGTTTACAGCTTTGCGTTGTCCGAGTTTATACACATCACTTTGGGCACTTCAGGTGAATAGCCAGGCAAACACCTCCGTCTCAAATATACCAGCATCGCTGTGAAATGTGTTAATTCAGAGATCCGAAAGTGCCTGGCCCCGCCTTTTATTGCAAGTCGATTTATGAACTCCCGCTGAAGAAGCTAGCGAATCTCCAGCGAGGTGCCTCATGGCAGTCTTTTTCGTACAAGAACCTGGAGAAACCATCGCGCCCGTATGTATACGCGGCACCATAGGCTTTCGCGTTGCTCTTAATTAAACAAGTCTGGTGGTGGTGGTGTTGGTTGTTGCCATGAAGTGTCTGGCCTTTCTATATAAACGTACGATCGGGCCAGGGTCCGCCCCTATTGGCGAGTATAGGCCCGAATTCTTCGCTCGTGCAAGCAAGGGTGCAGCCTTAGAGGCACACCGCAGCACTGACCGTTGCGGCTGTGTTTGCGGATAAAATTCTTCCGTACACGGTTCACCTTATCTCCTTTTCTAGACGCCTGTCTCTCTCCTCTCTCACCTATTCTCTTTTAGCCTCCTTCATTTGTGGCAGGATACAAGGAGAGAGGAGGAGGAGCAGGAGAGGGGGCACGCAGCATGCTTCAAACTTAATGAACTCTGCTACGTTGTGAGGCCACGACGTCTAATTACGCCGGTGGCACAACCAACACCAAAGCACGCTCGCAGCGCGAGACGAATAAGGTGCAATTAATATCGGCGACCGGTTTACATGGCGCGGCCGATATCGGTCCTGGTGCTCGACCGAACTCTACGTGTTGCAGTCGAGCGTGCGAGGTATAGCTCGAACGCCTTGTGCGTCCCCGGACGTGTTAATGGATCGGAGTGCCTTGGTGCGCGAAGGACCTCAGAAGGTGCATGCCGGGGTGATTCGCGAGTCCCCACCTATACAGTGTATACAGTGTGATGTAAGAGGGCACACACGTGCAGACGCCGCGCCCTCCGTCGCGCACGTGACGTCTTTTCCTGGAGGTACGCGGGGACGTTTCTTGGCCGAAACAGTCTTGTTTGGCGTGGTGCGCGTGAGAAAAAGGAGACGCTGATTGAGTTTGACAGGGGCGTCGGTGTAAATTGTTTGCGGGGGGGGGGGGGAGTTCGAGTCGTTAGTGTAAATTGACTTTTTCTCGCATTGGTGAGCGAGGTACACTTTCTCCTGATCGAGCGGCTCATCTTGAACTAAGAGCATTTTCTTCAGTATTGTTTATTAGTGATTGTGCCTGGGATGTGAAAAGGGGGTAAATTTCAAGGGGGAGAGTGAACGCAACGAATACGTATTTGAGTGAGAATTCGTTTGAATAAAAAAAGTGCGCGAGGGAGAGAGAGAGAATGAATAAAATAAGAGATAAAAAGTGACAGGCTTGAATGCGAGTGACTATAGTTATAGCGCGAGAACAGAACGACGACAAAGAGACAAGGAGGACACGTCGTTCTGTTTTCGCGATATATAACTATCCTCATATGTCATACCAACTAGCCCAAACTGCCACACTTCTAAGTTGAATGTGAACAAGAAGGTTAACTAAAAGAACGTCGAGTTGGCAGTGATGTACATGATAAATGTGAAGAGTGCATGAACAAATGAGGAGAGCGGCCTATGAAGACTCCACAATGTCGCTGTGACTGCGGCACTGTCTGGCCAACACGGATGAACACTACATACAATGAACTGTCAATCGCAATCAAAGGTTTTCGATCACTACTCTTCCTCGTGTTCATATATGAAAAAAGACCTGGAGGTCAAGGTACAAAAGGTACAAAACGCTGCTGGCTCAGAGATCGGACACATGTTACATCACAGGGAATAGCTAGTGGATACATATTTTTCCACCTGAACAGGCGATTTCCATCCTCTTCGCATTTTAATTCATGAATCTGTAGGAGCAGCCTATAGTTTTACAGAATTATTTCAAAAGAACTCTTGTAGCACTAGGCACCAACCATGATTTCACGGTCGCCCCGTCACGGAGGTCCAGTGGCTAAGGTACTCGGCTGCTGACCCGCAGGTCGCGGGTTCGATTCCCGACTGCGGTGGCTGCATTTCCGATGGAGGTGGAAATGTTGTAGACCCATGTGCTCAGATTTGGGTGCATGTTAAAGAACCCCAGGTGGTCGAAATTTCCGGAGCCCTCCACTACGGCGTCTCTCAAATTGATATGGTGGTTTTGCGACGTTAAACCCCACATACCAATCAATCAATCAATCAATCAATCAATCAATCAATCAATCAATCAATCAATCAATCAATCAATCAATCAATCAACAATTTCACGGTCAGGAATACTATTCCGAGAAATCAAAGGATCCGTAGAGCTTTGTCTTACATGACGAAGGCGTCAAGTAGAACTTGAATGCTCTGGTTTATATCTTTCATCGCGTAATACTTGTCAAATGGTAGTTGAATAACGTGGCCTCTCCAAAGGGAGTTTGTATCTAAATGCAAAAGTTTCTTGGGACGGAATGCGAGCCACGACGTAAGAGAGCACGCAGTGTTTGCTGCAGTAATCACATGACCTTGACGAGAGGCTGATGCGTGATTGCGCTCGTGTTACTCGTGTAGTTACGCTCGGCGTCCTTCGGCCTTAAAAGAAATTGCGCCATTTATAAACGCGACTCCTGTCCCCAGAACCACGCCCTTCGATTGGCGAGACCAGTCCCACGTACGGCGGCGCTAGTTTAGAGTGTTTCGTCGTATCGTTAATTACGACGCCAGTAACCATCCTTTCTATCTAACCTGGTGTTTGCCATTTCCCATCGTGTCCGCTTAAACACAGGCCGGAAATTTATGGACTTGTCGTTTGAGGTGCTTCCAGTCGGGGAGATAGACGCCATCGCGCAAGAAGGGAGTAAGAAGAAGTGAAGCATGAAATTTCCATCGGTAATTTTAAGATAGTGGGTACGTGAGCACACGGAAATACTACATGATATAGCCAATGTACGACCACGCTAGCTGACATCAGCTCATTTAAACGACATTTGCATTGGATTGATTTGGTTAGTTTTAAGGCTGCCGGAGATTCATTAGTTGGCCATTTCTAGCTAACACTGGGTGAATTAAGCCGCCATGTAACCAACACATGCTTACGCTAACGCGGGAACTTTCCCCGCGTATGTAATAACGCAGGGGTTTTAAATGTGGAAATGTAAATTGAACATTCATTTAAGGATACGGTGATGGCATGCACGAACGCACACACGCATGCACAAACACACACACACACACACACACCCGCACACACACGCGCGCACACACACACACACACGTACACGCGCACACACGCACACACACAGAGACATGCACACAAACACGCACACACACACATACAAGCGCACACACGCACACACACACACGCACACACACACACGCACACACACAGACACGCACACACACGCGCGCACACACACACACACACACACGCAGACACGCACACACTCGCACACACACATACACACACACGCACACACACACGCACACACACACGCACACACACGCACACACCCGCGCACACACATACACACACACACACACACGCACCCACACACGCACACACATACACACATACACGCGCACACACACACACAGACACGCACCCACACCCGCACACACATACATGCACATACACACATACACGCGCACACACGCACACACATAGATACACACACACGCACACACACGCACACACATGCACACACCCGCACCCGGACATGCCCATACACGCACACACACACACACGCACGCGAGCCCACAAGGGCACCGAGTCACGTGGAAGAAAATAAATGACAACCATTCCGCGCAGCAGTTACACTTAGCCGTACGTGCCAAACGATATACTCGGCGCTTGCGTACATGTTTACAGAACGTGGTCGCAGCGGCGCTGTTGGCATAGCTATCATCGCAGCAGTGGCGTCGAGTTCGAGCGCCCTCTATATACAGGACAAAGCACGAGGGACGTTATTAACGAGTCACGACGTCGCCGACAAAGTGTCCCGACGCTGGCACCTTTGGTTACACCGTGTAATTATCGCGCGGTTTCAATTTTCGCCCCGAGTTAATGAGAAAAAAAAACACTTCTCGCCTTTGCCAGGTTGCCCGGGCAAGCCCTTCCACACGCGGCACAACAGAGACCCAACCCAGGACGTGCTGGAAGCATCCGCTAATATATTGTGCGAACTTGTTTCGGCTATCACTTACAGCGCGAGGGGGATTTATTGATGGTGCCACCTTCTCTGGCGTTCCCGGCGATGCGCGTCTGCCAATTCGTTCGTCGTGCTGTGCGAACGCGTTCGCCCCTATAGGCAAAAGGTGACACTGCATGCGGGTGTTGTG